ACATCCTAAGTACGGCAAAGTAACCTTCAAAGAAAGGTGGCAGAAAGATTCCTTGGAAACACTGGTCTGCAGGAGATACAAGTCTAAAATAGAAATAGTTCAATACTGTGTTTATATAAATTAATTTATAATATTTCAATAGTGAGTTCTTAGAGTAATTAGGCATATTGCTTATGCATCTCCAATGTTGGAAAATGTTACTATTGAGAATCTGTGCATATATCCAACTATGTGTATGGCACCTCCATGGGGTGTTGGAGGCATTTGCAAACTCAACATATCCAAAAATGGACTTTTGCCCAGACCTACTCCCATCCAACCTTCCTTATCTCAATTAATGGCTACTCAGTCCTTATAGTTGCTCAGTCAAAATGTGCTTCTCATCACCTCCATACCCTCACCCTGATACAAGCCACCATTACCCATTGCCTAGCTGTTATGGATTTAATTGTGTCCCCCAAAATATCTGTCAACCTGGTTAAGCCATGATTCCCAGTATTGTGTGGTTGTCCTCCATTTTGTGATCTGATGTAATTATCCTATGTGTTGTATATCGTAACCTCTATGATGTTAATGAGGCAGGATTAGAGGCAGTTATGTTAATGAGGCAAGATACAATCTACAGGATTAGGTTGTATCTTGAGTCAATCTCTTTTGAGATATAAAAGAGAGAAGTGAGCAGAGAGGAGAGGGACCTCCTACCACCAGTAAAGAAGAGTTAGGAGCGGAGCATGTCCTTTAGACTAGAGGTCCCTGCACTGAGAATCTCCTAGACCAGGGGAAGATTGATGACAAGGACCTTCCCCCAGAGCCGATGAGAGAGAAAGTCTTCGACTGGAGGTAGTGCCCTAAATTCAGACTTCTAGCCTTCTAGACTGTGAAAGAATAAATTTGTTTGTTAAAGCCATCCACTTATGGTATGTCTGTTATAGCAGCAGTAGATAACTAAGACACTAGGTTATTACAACAATCTCCTAACTTCTTCTTCTGCTTTTACCTTTTCTTCCCTATAGTCTGTTCTCAACCCAGAAGTTCGTGACCTCAAAATTAGGTGGGGGTAAGAGTTAGTTGGGAGTCCCTGGGTGCTATAAATGCTTAATGCACTCGATTGTTAGCTGGAAGGTTGGAGGTTCAAGTCTACCCAGAGGTGCTTCGGAAGAAAAGCCTAGAAATCTACTTCTGAAAAATCAGACATTAAAAACCCTATGGAGCACAGTTTTACTCTGACCCACATGGAATCAGCTCTGTGCCAACTGGTTTTGAAGAATTAGTTGGGAGACTGTTTCTGTAGATCTGGATGAAATTGTGCAGGCTACAATCTTATTAATTTCAATAAAGATGGTGGAGAGTGGAGATGAAGGATTCAAAGAATGTTAAATAGAACCTGACTCAGTGTACATAAGATTTAATAAAGAAGATGGAGCCTAGGGGTGGCTCCGTAGTTTCTGGCTTGTGCAACCAGTTGATGTTTCATTCACTGAAATAAGCAATCCAGTATATAGGAGGAACAGCAGATGGTGGAATAGGGTTCAGTTTAGAACATGTTGTGGTTGGTATCTTTGAGTTATCCAGGTAAAGTAGGCAGTTTGATGAGTGGGTTTGGAACTCAGAACAATGTTCTTGGTTGGAGACATAGAATTGGTCATTATTTGTGTCTTACTGGCTGTGTTGCCCTTGAGGAAATCATTAAAAACCCTTGGATCCTCGCTTCACTCATCATTAAAATGATGGTGAACAACGGCAAGATTAGTCCAAAGGACTAATGGACCACAACTTCCACAGCCTCCACCAGACTGAGTTCAGCACAACTAGATGGTGCCCAGCTACCATCACTGACTGCTCTGACAGGGATCACAATAGAGGGTCCCAGACAGAGCTGGAGAAAAACGTAGAACAAAATTCTAACTCACAAAAAAAGACTAGACTTACTGGCTTGACAGAGAGTGGAGAAACCCTGAGAGTATGGCCCCCAGACACACTTTTAGCTCAGTAATGAAGTCACTCCTGAGGTTCACCCTTCAGCCAATGATTAGACGGGCCCATAAAACAAAATGAGACTAAAAAGGGGCACACCAGCCTAGGGGCAAGGACTAGAAGGCAGAAGGAGACAGGAAAGCTGGTAATAGGAAACCCAAGGTCAAGAAGGGGAGAGTTTTGACATGTCATGGGGTTGGTAACCAATGTCACAAAACAATACATGTAGTAATTGTTTAAAGAGAAGATAGTTTGTTCTGTAAACCTTCATCTAAAGTACAATAAAATAAAATGATGGTGAAGGTATCTACTTTGCAGGAATGCTGTAGAGATTAAAAATAATATATATAAGGTTCCTATTATAATGCCAGGAGCCCTGGTGGTGCAGTGGTTAAAAGCTATAGCATGCTACGGCTGCTAACCAAAAAGATCCACAGTTCGAATCCACCAGCTGCTCCTTGGAAACCCTATGGGGGCAGTTCTACTCTGCCCTATAGGGTCGCTATGAGTCAGAATTGACTAGATGGCAATGGGTTTTGGTTTTGGGGTATCATAGTGCCTGGCACATGGAAAACCTTAACAAATGGTAGAAGTGGTTCTTTTTGCTTCAGTTGGATGGATGGATGGATGGATGGACAAATAGATGGATGGATAGATAGATAGATAGATAGCTGTAATTGTGTTGACTCCAACACATAGTGCTTATGTACAACAGAACAATATGTTGCTTGGACCTGCATCATCCTCACACTTATTAGCATGTTCAAGTCCATCGTTGAGGCTTTTGTGCCAATCCATCTCACTTGCCCTCGCTGTCCCTGTACTTCCCTAAACATGATGTCCTGTTCTAGCAACTGATTGCTCCTGATGACATGCCTAAAGCAAGTGAGTCAAACAATATTCTGTTGTGATCTGTAAGATTTTCACTGGCTTATGTTTGGAAGTAGATTGCCAGGCCTTTCTTTCTGTTCTATCTTAGTTTGAAAGCTCTGCTGAAACCTGTCCACCATGGATGACCCTGCTGGTTTTTGAAATAACTAGTGCATCACAGCAACACACAAGCCACCACAGGATGACAAACTGACCGACGGGCAGTGGTTTTGCTTTTAGTAGTGTTGCTATTGGTAGTTGGATTTATGGCTATTGACAAGATTCTATGCATAGCCAAGGAGAGCACATAGGGTGAAAAGAGAGTCAAGCCTGTGGAACCAGAGGGGGAACAAGATGAGCTTAAAGGCCTGTCCATAGATAATAGTGTGAAGTAGCCAGTAGTCATCATGAAAAAGCGTTTTCCCTGCCAGCTCTAGCCAGAGCAGCTCTAGGCCCTGGAAACCATTGTCATGTGAAAGTATCTGTATTGAGAGTGAAGATAGCAGTGCTCAGCCTTAGGCTGAGAACACATCCACCTCCCTGCAAGCTGCTGCTACCCATTCCTACTCTAAATGTGACATGAGCTCTGGACTGCACACCTTCATTTAAAAGGGAGAGGGATACGAGAGAGAAATAAGAGGGGTATTCTTTTTGAGGCATGTCCATACAAATGGGAATCAGGAAACTGAGAAGCTAGGAAAGAAAAAAATCCTGACTTCTTCTTTTTCAAAAACGGTATTTGTATTGTGTTTATTTTCTTTTTTGTTTTAGTGAAGTTCCTTCTTAGTATTCTAGCTGACCTTTGGAGAAATGAAATAAGGGGTCTTGTGTGTACATCTTGGCAAGCAAGGAAGGGATATAGTGAGGGGCATTGAGAGTCCTCCTGCATTACATGGTGCCCACTTGGGCAGCATGTAAAGAACTTAGATGAGAAGGCAAACACTACTGAGGAATCAGTAGTCAATTTTCTCACCTGCCTTCTCCAGCCTCGGGTTGCTCCTTTTCCTCTGTCTTAGAGAGACTCGCCTTTTAGAAGATGTTTAAGGGGGTCAGTTCCATGAAGAGCTATCTGATGACTGTAGTCTTTGGAGATGGGGTCCATCAGCCTTTAAGAACTGATCCTACATTCTTGATCTATTTTGAGATTTCTGTACATACAATGACATCCCTGGGTAGTGCAAATGGTCATCTCGTGGCTACTAACTGAAAGATTTGAGGGGTTCGAGTCTACCCAGAGGCACCTCAGAAGAAAGGCCTGGCAATCTGATTCTAAAAAAAAAACCCTATGGAAGGGGAGTTTTTGCTCAGGGGGCATTGGGTTTATGTTAATGGTGGTAGAATAATTTGGAAAAGAATAGCTATAATGGTTGTACAACATGAAGAGTATAATCAATGTCCCTGAATTATTCATGTAGAAATTGTTGAAATGGTGAATATTCTGTTGTGTGTATTTTTACCCCAATAAATAAAAAGAAAAAAGGAAAATTCTATGGAGCACAGTTGCACTCTGACACACATGGGTCAGATGAGTCTGAATTGACTTCACACAACTGGTTATTTATATATATAATATCCATGTTTCTAAAGTATATAGGATCTTCGGATGAGTTAATTGATTTGTTATATAAAGTGATATGTTTTTCAAAATTGTCTTCAACATTGTATTTCAAAGCTTTGAATGACACTGGTAATTCCTATCTAGGAGTTCCTTTCCAGTTATTTTTATACTGTATAGTTCTTAATGACATTTGGTGGGTTTTTTAAACAGTTCCTGTCAAGAGAATTTTAGAAATATTAGTCTCCTTCCCCTCTGCTCTTGAGCCATACTGCCCCCCTGGGAACCAAATACTAGCATCCGTTTCTGTAACAATTTTTCTTTTTCCCTTGCAAGAATATTTGCTTGTTATTGTTGGGTTATTGGGGTTGATCTGAATATCATAATGGTAAGAACACTGCAATGTATGTTTTAGAAAAGTGAAGCTCATCAGCAGAATTACTTTAACATGGAAGAAATTTGGTGGCGATCAACTCTGGAGCAAGCTGCGGCCTTGGGCGCGTGTGTTTTTAGGCGTGCCAGTGTTTTCCGTGTGGCTTTCAGATAAGCAGCACTGCATTCTGACTTAGTTACCAACTCATTTCTAAATCATCTTTTCCAGTGTTCTGGGACCAGCAGTAACCTTCAGAGTGAGCTCCAATATCCAAAATGTGACAGCTGCAGGTGTTGCTAAGGCAGCAGGTAAGCTATTTTCACATACACACACACACACACACACACACACAGCAGGCAGGGGAGAGAAAGGTAAGCGGTCGAAAACAACCCCAAAGTAAGCACAGCGTTTCCCCTGGCAGACCGATGTTTAATGAAGGAGGCGGTGAGGGCTTAGTGGCAACAAGGGGAAATTGAAGTGTCCCATCCCAGAGTCAGTTAACACTGCCTGGGACTTTGTTGTTTGGAGAGGGACTGGATTATAGTGAAGTGTGAGCATGGCTTCACATTGCAGGCAGGAGACCACAGGGCCGTCTTTGAGAGAGAAAAAGGCTAGCTTTTGAAAACGCAAGGATTTGGTGTCTGTAGTAGTCCCAGTGTGAACACAGCAAACACAGTTTCGCTCTGAGGTTTTTCATTGGGTACTGGACAAGAGCACAAACTGATTGGACTTTTATCCATCACAGAACAGACATAGTTCAGGATCTGGAAGGCTTAAATAAACATTTAGATCATCAGTTACTGGTCATTCCTAATCATACATTTTGACATCTATTTACTGATAGAGCTTGAGTGATCTTTGCTATATAGTTGGTGTTTGTCATTAAATGAAAAACAGCCAAAGCTCTAACTAGAGCCTTTAAGAACAAAATGTGGTGGTGGATAAAATTTTTGCATTTTCCTAAATATCAAATTTCTTTTTTTTGGCTTTTTGAAAATCTTTGTAAAATGTATTATATGATCTTTCTGCCTAGTGAGCCAAGTATAGAGAACCTACAGAGAACAGAAACTTGGTTTGGTGATTTTCAGTACTTGGGGATTACTCTGTGGTTAGGACTCTATAATATTTTATAATCACTTATGAGTTTGGGCTGAATATACACTAACCCCATCACAGCAAAAAATGACTGCTTCTTTTAGCAAATCTTTTATATGAACTATTTTTTTACTGAAATGTTCTGTTTTTCCAAAGTAAAATGCAGCAAATATTTTAGGGATTTGAATATTAAGTTCTCATTGACTGAGGTTGCACTGTACTGGCATCATATTATCTAAAGTTGTGGTATCCAGTGATAGTAAACAAGGCATAGAATAGCTGCTATACCCTCTATAAGGGATAAATTTGGTCTTTATTTTGGTTGTTCTTGATTGTTACTTGTGGGATGCCTTTTTGCCTTTAGCAACTCTTACTTGCTGAAGGTAGAGATTTTGGGAGCTAGAAGTTTTGGATAAAAAAGAGTTCTTTGTAAAGTTGTACTAAACTCCAGAAGTCCTACAGATTTAATCTTTGTAGAGAGCTGAATTCCCCAGGTTCAATTTCATTGTCATATTTCATTTTAAGACATATGGCACCTGAGATGCAACTCGATGAAGTAGTGAAGGATCGTTACTTCAACTGAGCAATTTAATGTGGTCCCAACGATGAAAAGCAACCAGCAGATTTTATTCTAAATTCACTGCCACCTGGAAGAAAGAGTGTGATTCCTGTATGAATGGCTCGGCCCCCTTGTGGGCTCCAGGGTCTCTCATTTCCTCACCAGCATCTGCTTCACTGATACTGGTTCCTCAGCGCACTTGTTTGGGCGTCTTTAGGACCAAATCAGTTTTCAGTTTTTATTTCTAAGATATTAGGTTGAATGTGCATCACCCCAGACAGCAGAAAATGACTGTATTTTAGCAAATCCTTTCTATGAACTATTTTTTAACTGAAATTTAAATCTTTTTCCCAAAAGTCAAATGTAGCAAAATATTCTACATTTACAGTTCTATAATTGCCAGTTTATCCCAGTATTGGGAAATATTACTTCTGAAATTAAGTTTGCTGGAATTTAATGGAATAAAATGGAATGCACCCTTTTTATTTTTATTTTTTAAATTATGATGATATAGCTACTGACAACGGCTTTTCATTTATTTTATTGCTTTATAGGGAAAATGAGGTTGATTATTTGAAATTTAGTTCCTTGGCCATTTTAAATGTGTTCATGTCATAAACTGAAGTGCTTTAACAAGGGGGAGATTACATATGAAATGCATGATGTTTGAGACTCATAGCAGCAACATTTTAAATACTTGAGTATGCTGAATTACACCAATGCATTTATGTTAACTTGATGCTATTCAAGCCAGAATGTTTCTTGCTTGTTGTACGTATGCAAAATTGATAATATACATCCATAGTTTAAATATATAAATATAT